AAACATATCACTCTTAGCGTGTAAAAATAAAACTTTTTTCGTCGGTAACCCCTATGTTTAACATTGCTTCTCCGTTACACAATGCAGCTTCACTTACAATAGAAGACCCGCAGAAGGTGTTGAAGTTTTGCATGTTGTATTCCCCTTCCCATCCCCTTGGATTCGGTAAAGGCTGTGCATTGCAAAACCTACGTGGTTTTTTTTGTTATCGGTGCAAGCACGTATATGGTGCTGTGCGTGTCTTTGCTTATATATTGAACACGCTGCAACTCTGCAAAATTCAAGAGGTGTCTGCGCCAATTACGATCCTCCTCCTGTGCGCGCCCCCCCCCCCCTCCCCACCTCTCAACTCTCGCATGGATTTTGTTTTTATGGAAAAGTCCGACTGCGTGCAGTGTTTGCTATAAAAATATCTGTCTGAAAACTGATGAATCGCAAAGCCCGCCGCCCCCGTCGCCCCCACAGCCTCTGCGTGTCTCTTCGGGCAGTTGTTAGCGTACGCCGCAGGGTAGGTGGCTATAGCTTGGACAGCGAAGCCCTCTCTCCAGCCAAAGGGTCATTGTTGCTCGGTTGAAGTCCACATTACCCGCCTCCCTGCTGCACCCCCCCCCACTCCTGGTCAGGCATATTCGCCTGCCACAACCAACCAACCAACTGTGAGCCCCCCCCCCCACCACCACCACTCTCACAACACCCCAGTAAAGTGAGTCTTGGAGAGCGTGGTTTTCATTATATTGCGACATTTAAGCTTCCTTTGTCTTTAATTTCCCCACACATGTTGAACATTTGGTGACATCACTTCGTCTTGGCTACCCTAACATTCTTCAGCACTGCAGCATTGCAATATTTATGCAACGCAACTTGAATTATGAAAGCATCTTAATTTGACCAAAACTTGGTACTTTGAAAATGAGGGGAACGTATCTATGCAGAGAGTTGTAATCGTTTTTTTTAAATGAAAGTACAAGACGATGGGTAGTATAATTCTACTGCTCAGAGGAATAATTAGGACGACATTATGGTCGAAGTGTATTCATAAGTTGCTTCAAACACACTCGTGACAATACCGCTGGAAACCAGCACTCCATACAGTTCTTGTAGTGATAGAATATAAGTGTGTAAGGAGAAGATTCACAGAGAGACGGGCGTATCTACTGCATGTACGTAAGCACAGATTCGTATGCATTGTATCGTTTAGATGTGCACCGTCTGGTTAGGTGGTGCAGGGGTAAAAGCCTGCAGGCGAATATGGGAATGCTGTCAGCTCAGAACTTCACCACTACCAGGGTTGATAATAAAAAAGTGCCACTTTGTGGGGACTCGGCAGTGAATGTGCCATAAATAAACTCACCCCCGCCATAGACGTGTGGAAATCCCAGCAATATCTCAGTAGGGTGGTCCTCGATTTACGAAAATAATTGGTTCCTGAGGCCCATTCGTAAGTCTAACGGGTGGTAAATCGGAACAGAGTAATCTACTGTATATTTAAATGTACAGACGCACAGACGCACATGCACTCACTCCCAGCACGAGGCTGACTCATTACAAAATAGTGTCGCGGTTCAATTTGCGATTGAGAAGTCGCGTTTCAAGTCGATATTAAAAAAGAAAACTTCCATGCAAGCTTGTCCGTAAATGCGTGTGTTCGTTACTCGGGTGTTGGTAAGTCGATGACTGGCTAAACTGGCAAAATGGGATATTAAGCACTGCCCTATGCCGATTAGAGCAGTGTACCACACTTTGAGCTGTTTGACAAGTGAATAACTGTACGCCGATTGTGTGTCAATGTACGTGTATCCGGAATTACCAAAGCATGTACGCCCTGAAGGAAACTGCGTTAGCTCTGATGCCCCTTGCACAGTAACCCTGGCCCCTGGCTTAGCCAAACGCGGCACAAAGCATTTATGGCTTCACCCATGTAATACCCCCCCACCCACCAGCCTCTTCCTTATGCGTCTCTGTTCATGATCTGTGTGCTCACGCAAAGCTTACGTGCTACACTACACGCAAGAGCTGTCCTTACAACAAGCTAGAGCGGCATTTAATGAATGGGGTCCCAAATGTTGCGTTGATTGCACGCTGCGCTCACAACTTTCGATCAGCTTTAATTTAAATAAAAGACCCTGCCGCCTCGTTTTTTTTAGCCAGCGTTCATCACACGCACGCACGCGCGCCGTCTCCTCGCCCTTTAATTACAAACTAGAATTCCGCAGATTCCTTGCCAGCAGTCAGATTTCACGCTGCGCGTCTCGGTTGATTTTTTTTTGCTGCTGCGGCGTGCTAACGTGCGTGCACTATTTATAACGACCGTTACGGCCCAGACGATGCTGTCAAAACATTTAGCTGCCCAAAAAAGTTTTGACAAAATGTGGCTTTAGGCAGCTTTAAATAAGCAAGTTTTATTTTTACATCGGCGGTTTATTTATTGCGCGAAGCCACAGGTGCGAATGTTCCAACCGGTGAGGACATATCTGGCCCACAGTTATGTCTGTCCCATTCCCAATGCTCATCCATAATTACTGGGCTGGACTCACAGTGAGGACGCCTCGTCTGAGCTCAGAGGGCTGTTAAAACTGGAACGCGGTTGCAGCGATTACAAATCCCACCGTCACCTTCTCAATTACAGGGCGAATAGTGAATTTAACTCAAGCTTTTGCAAATTGTGATTTAATACATCCCTGACTTGTTACGCTTACTCGATTGCACGTTTTGAAGAAAAAAAATGCATTTGTAATTTGTATGGAAACCAGAGTTCGTATAAGTCACAATGAAACGCAATGTACTGTATGTAGTGAAACAGGCGGCACTGTAAAACAAATAATTTTCACAACTGTGTATGTTTTCACAGTTGTGCTGTAAAGCGGCAATGTAGCGGTCAACCCCGCTGCTCTACGAACCCGGCCACCCGAGTTCGATTCCCGCTTACGGCCAACACCAGTGCCGATTATCAGAACCAGTCCTGGGCCTCCCCTAGGTCGACTCAGGCTAAAATGAGTACCTGGTGCGGTGTGTAAACGTTGCCACTGGGGAGACAAACGCGGCCGGGCGTGGTGTTGGCCACCCACCTACCCCCTCGTGTGCCGTGCCGGCCTTCATAGGTACTCGCTAACAGCACTTGCCCCAACAGTCTGTTAAGGCTACACGGGGGGATCTTTGTCTTTGCTGTAAAGCTCTCCGTGCTGGGCGTGAGATGTCAGACCTGGTGCCGAATAGCGCTGCGGCACGATCCGAAGGAGGCATCAGGGAGATTATTCAGTGTTACAATCACGTGGTTTATTTGTCAACAGGCGAGAGCCCATTGAGACCTCGAGCCCTGTTTAGACAAGGCAGACCTGGACGTCAACATGGACAACAACAATAAACAAATAGAAGGGCTAACATTCTCACAGATTTTCTAAATATTTAGTGAGCAGAGGGTTAAATATATGCAGACCTGGTCATATTTCATAATTCGGTTTACGTATACCCTTCCATAACATCAATTGAGTTCTAGATTTGAAGCTTTCATAACTGCAAGGATTCATACTCTTTGTTTTTTTTCGGTAAAATCACGTAGGTAAAATAAAAAAAGAGTATCAATTGAGTTGTTCCATTATATTATTAACGTCAAAGGGGATTCAGAATAGGCCATGTGAGATCACTGAAACTTTGTGTCAAATACTTTTGTTGTCCGTCCGCCACACTTCCGATTATCACGGTTGGCTACGTACGGCTTGAAAGAAGTTCAACATACAGTACATGAATACTCAGACTATTCTCAAAACCCTTTAACAGCCCATTGTAGTTTTAGCGGCATCAGCAACAATAAACGCTAATGAGATGAACGAAAAACTTGGCTTTTTAAACAAACAAGCACACAGATGAATTATTTTTTTTAAACATGAAAGTGAAAGGTAAACACGTACGTACTACCAATTGTGGGCTAAGTCACTTTACACACGAGCAGTCTAATACACAGTGATGGAGGTCACACTGCGTGGGGAAAATGCTCCTTCATCCACGACTCTTCATGAACTTGGCACGATGAGTTAAAAGCAAACGATTTTGATCATTGCCCGCTGGCCCCTAAGGAGACTATGTCGTTAATATTTACTGATCTCTGTTTATGTTTTCTACCGCTGTAAATTAAAACGATGTCCAATATAAGAGTTTATACGATGCGGTATTTGACGTTGATATATTGTGTTGAATTGTGTTGAACATTGATATATTGTGTTTTGAATTTCCTGGTTTTCTTTCTTCATTTGTGTACCTGCTTTGATGTTTGCTTTTGTAGCTCAGGTCTCCCTCGAATGGCCTCTTGCCCGATTTTAAATGAAACATGTTTTTTTCTGTCTTGATTAATCAAAATGCAATAAAGTTCCATGTGCACCGATGCACGTTAAGTAAGAATGTCTTTGCAAAAAAAAACATATTGCTCTTCAGTTGCTCTCATTGGCTGATGAACTGTTACATATAAATGACACAGACTCCGGGCTGAAATGACAACAATTAGATCTACATGCACGGCGGCTTTTTAAAGCGCGTTTATTCGCTCCGTTAAAACAAAGCATTGACGAGCGCGCGATTAAATAGCGTGACAAGCCCGAGGCTCACATCAAATGTAACAGGCGTAAATTGACACCTGCGAACACGGCTCATTACCGCGCGAAATCTGTCAACGTGAGCACCCTTGATGAACAACCATTGCAACAGCAACAAAAACCCCAACGAGGAGGTCACAACTCCGCAGTGATGAAGGTCGCACGGTCCTGGGGCAAGTGGAGAATAGAGGACGTCACCGCCCGTGCTCCCTACGTCTTGAACAGTCAGCCGCCTGCCCCGTGTCTGTCGGCTGTCCCCGTGAAAGGGCCGTGACAGGTAGCAGGAGGACGCTAACATGTAAACAACAAAGTTTATACACAACGCTGTAACGCAACCCCCACCCCGCTCCCCGTATCCCCCTACCACCACCACCACCCCCACCCCCGACTTTTCTGGGCCCGTCTTCTCGTGTGCAGGCCGAGGAAGTTCCAGCATCTCGTCGGACTTTAGTTCCAGCACAGACTTCACGCCCACCCGCAAGAGCAGAGGTAGGGGTGCGTGAGGGGCGGGGGTACACGTGGAGGGATGTGGGGGGTAGAGATTAGGGGGCGGGGGGGGGCGGACAGGCAGGGAGGATGCGTTATGGAGCTGTTGCTCAAAGCAGCAAGAATAGAGAAAATGCATGGTCTCTGTTTTTTTTTATTTGATGGCGTTTTGTTTGAGCGTGGGGGGCGGGGGGAGAACAGGCAGGGGAGGATGTGTTATGGGGATGTTGCTAAAAGCAGCAAAAATAGAGAAAATGCATGGTCTCTTTTTGTATTTGATGGCGTCTTGTTTGAGCGTACATTTTCAAGACGCACTCATTTGGTACTCTTGCATAGCAGTGCAACGCCCCGCGCTAGAGAATTGGCCGGCAGAAGTCGACATCACGGAAATTATTCTCGGGTGCATTTAAATTGACCGCCCTGCGACGGAGCAATGTCATGTTTGTGGCAAGTCACGGCGGTCAAGCTGAAATTTTTCATTCTCAACGCTGGAACTTTGCCAAATTTAATTAAGAAGCAAACTTAAGATGACGGGTTTCTTTTTTCTCCCATAACACCATTTGTAGCGGAGAGCTTAGACCGTCAACTCACTGCACTTTAATCGCAGCCAGCTGCCTGGATTCGAACCCAGAATCTCAGCGGTGCCAGCTCTAACCTCTGAGCCTCCCCATCGCCTGTATTCTACTACGAGTTTTAAAGTAATGACACCGTACATATTTCCTGTATTCTAGCCATCTCACACTATATGAGTGTATGCAATGTCGTGAAGTTTAGGTCGGTGTGATACAGCGAGGGAAATCATTTCGTTTAACATATGCCATCCTCTTCAAGTTGGGGAAAGACCACCATCATGTGCTAGGGATTGATGTGATATTCCAGAAGAACACATCACTTTGTTTTTCCTTGGAAGGCACACCTGAGTTTTCACTCAGAGCCACATATTTGTTTCATCCATGTACTGGACATCTCATTGAGCTGTGGAGGCTGTGTCCATTAACGCTTCAGTGCTGGAAGCATCACAGTCGTCATCAGCCGTGATGGATCCATTGCTGGATGAAGGCCTCACTAAGCAGTTGCCACCTGGGGAGGCATTAAATGTTGTAAGCATGAGCGTAGTTGGTTTTTTTAAACCTTATAGTGTGATAAAACCATTATAAGAGACGTTTCATTGCCACAAGTGCGTTTCAGATGCACAAAATGAAAAAAAAATATCCGTGAAAAATAGTAGACCCAGTTGAAACCCAGCTTTGAAAAACAAAAATAACTACCAAGTGAATCCTCAAACCTTCCACCTCCCATGAGCCTCCACACAACAGAGCTTGGGCCCTCAAGGAGGAGGGAAGGCAGCTGGCACGGAAAAGTAGAATGCGCACATTCGATTTTTTTCACATTCAGATTGTGACAGTCTATGTGCCAGGGCTCAGTCCGTTCCCCTGTTTAACGTTACTGTTTGCAGAAGGCAGCCAACAAAAAATGTTCAAGAAATGTAAGATATTTTTGGGTTACAAGTACACGATCCTTATGTTTGTTATAGCTCACTGTGGAATTTAAGTAAACGGTGTGTTGCACATTCACTGACTGCGTTAATTTTATTTTGCTGCTTTCACAGAAAGATGCATAAATCGGTGGGGGGGGGGGGGGGGGGGGGGTTGGATGGGGGGGGGGGAAATAACTGGAATTGAATGTTGGAGTGATGAGTTTTGATCTCAAGTCTGCTGTTATACAGTCCCCGTTTTACAACAGAATCTAATATGCTCGCCCAAAGAAACAAAAGCAAGTGCACCCGGCATTGCCATCAACAAGTTTCCGCTCGCGTAACAAGGGAAGTGAAGGTGCAAAGGGACGCATCAACTCCGAGTTTTCGAACGTAATTAGTGGGTGCTGAATCAACCATTCCTCTGGCGATTGAAGGAATTTGTCACAATTCAGGATCACAATTCAAATTAATAATAAATTACATGTCTTTTTTATGCTGAATGGTAGCACCGCCACTGACTGCAGGACTGATTTCAACTTATTATATGCAACATGTACGTACACAATTAGTTGCTAAAAGTTGTAACGATATCGAAAGCACGGTAAAAAATGATACATCGATGATGACGGCGATAATTATGACGCATGTACAGTATCACGAGCTTGAGAATGAAAAATATGCACCGCAAATTAATCCAATGAAACAATGCACTGTTCCACCCATAGTGGTTAAGGAGAGTTACGGAATGGATGGGATATTCGGTGGAAGGAGGGAGGACTAGGTTCGAGTTGGTAAGGACACTGGGAGGAGCGATGGGAGAGGGGGTAGGGTGACTTTTAGGAAAGTCAACAGAAGCAGCAGCAGCAGCAGCCCGGGCCTGTTTAGTAAAAAACACTCTCGTGGCCCAGTGGGGCCACGATCACCTTTGACCCCTGAGAGAGTTTATGGAGTCAGAGGAGACCCGGGTCTCCTTGAGTAACTGTGGGTGAATGTGGTCGGGTGTTTCTTTGTATTCGAACTCGCGGCGAGTGAGAGTTGTTTGTGTTTGCTGTTGTGCAGGGGGTTCGGCGAGAGTGGAATAAAAGTTCAAACTCAATCTGCTCTTCGTTTAGGAGGGATATATTCGCGCGCATGTGATTCAACGCGCGTGTACATTACTGCTTAATGTGGCGAGAGTTGTGGTCTAGAGGTTTGAAATATAAATAATGCTATACTCCCCTTTGTCAATACACTCTTGGATGAAGGCCTCTGCACTTCGTGTCGGTCATGGAGGTTTGTTTGACCATATTTCACCGCGCTTTTCAATGCGGATTGGTGTAGAGGGAGCCCAGGAAAAGTTGAGATGTCACTCTTCACTGATGTTGGCCCTGACTCAGGTACTGACTTCATTGTGAAGTACCCGATCCACTGCGCCACCACTCCACCCCTGTTATCTTAACAAAAAACAATGCTCATGGTAAACGGAGGGTTTTTATTTATTATTACATCATATATCTTGACTTAAAGCTTTCGTGACTGCAGGAATTCATATTCTTTGGGTCTTTCGGTAAAGCCACGTAGATAGGTACAAATAATTGTGATATTGTTATTATTTTTATTATTTGTTTTATCTACGTGGCTTTACCGAAAGACCCAAAGAATAGACATCATATATAGCAAGAACAATTAAACAGTTTTATGTTTAAATGTAGCAAATGGGGTTGACGTAGCGTTTTGGAAACTTTCCCTCTAACATAACAGTTCATTGTATTGACGGGTAATAAAACATGATGTACAGACACTATTATGAATGCAAATATTTATTATTATATTACCACTGGATTTAAAGAAGCTTACTCTAAATGGTATGGTAGTTACAGGGATATTAACATTACGTCTCCTCAAGGCTGCGTAGGTATTGGAAGTTGTGCTGTGTAGCTCTCCTATGTATTTCCAGGTTGGACCGCACGTTCCTCGACATGATGTACTTGCTGGGAGCTTCAGTTTTGAAGAAGCTCCACGCACGTGCAGCGAAACGCAGAAATCATGTCCGGCAACGTGCGGTACAACTTGAAGACACAAGTCTCCTTATTTGTGTTGTGGTGCCATGAACATACATTTGGCATTTAAATACACACAAATCGTCGCATCCCCAGCCTCTTGAGTTAACTAACTAACTAACTATTTAAACTACCTGGTCACAAATGATAGCTCTAGGAAGTGGTTTATCACATGGAAATGTAAAGGAGCCAAATACTCTTAATGCATGCTTCTACATGTGGAGGGAAAAATCGGAGAACCTGGAAAACAATCCACACGACCATGGGGAGAACATGCAAACTCCAAATATACAGGCGCCAGGTCAGGATCGAACCCACGACCTCCTGTATAGCAGGCGAGGTAGTTAACATCTCGCCACCATGGCGCCCCCAGCCATTATAGTCAGTGGCCGTAGCTCAGCTGATTCTCTTGGGACACTGTCGGTGATAGATGGGGAATGCCTGGGCACTGGGAGGCTGTGCTTGTGAATGAACGCTTGTAAAGTGGCGTGGCCTCTCTGCTGGGCATCGCGTGTTTGTGGATGCCCCTGGAGCCATGTGGGCAGCAGAGGGGAAACCTTCCCCAACAGGGCCCCTAATGTGAAACACGCCTATGTGATAATGACAGCAATGATAATCATTACGCCTGGTCATATCTCTGCCAATGATCAAGAGACTCATTGCAGTGGTTTAACGGTAATAAATGTTGACCTTTGAGTTGTGCGGTGCATGCAGTGATTGCAGAGCTAAATAATAGCCCTGTAATTGATTTCTCATGGGTTAGGGAAAGTGTGTTGCAGGTATGACTTTAAACTGTGATGGTGTCGCCTAAAAATACTGTTGAGGACGGGAAAAGGACATCGACCACCTCAAGTGTCCTTGCCTCGTCGTGGCCTCAAGAGCTGTCTTTTTTTATGTGTGAAGAGGGCAATGGTTCGCATTCGATGGAGGGAGCTTGAGGGGAGTGACCCTGCTCTTTGGCAGAGAACTCAGGAATTATGGAACCTGGTATGAATGTGGTTATGGATTCAGTACAGTATGCAGATAAATTTGGAGGCTTGAGGCCACCCATGCTCATTGAGGGGTACACGCTATTTGGCATTTTTAAAAGCAAAAAAAAAAAATTCCTTCAACTTGTTTAAGTTTCGTTTGAGCAAAAGAAGCGACCGTTTGGCAGATTTCACTTCTGGTAAATGTGGTAAATGTTTACAGTAATGCACATTACCGTTTCCTCCGTCACTGCTGAGGCAAATGAAAATGCTGGGAAATTGGAAGAATTACTTGCGATTTTTCCAGTCAAATGTTGGGACGGTGAGACCAGGGCAGGGTCGGTCCCCCCCCCCCACCCCAATGTTAAAAGTCAACAAGTCTCCAAAGAAAACATAGCTTCCAAAAGGATAGCACATTCATTTGATATTGATCCAAACGGCACATTTCCACTGAGATTAAATTTTAAACCGTACCACGTACAAATCTGAGTGGCTTGAACTCGTAGCATAAATGTACTA